GAGGACGTTGGGTAACAGTCACGCTATGTCGTGAATTGAGAGAAGATGGAAACTGTGAACTACTGGAAACCAGCGCAGTGACTGAATGGTTAACGCGTTCGACATACATTAGTGTTTTACTATAGTGAAATTTTTCCGTGTTTGACAAAATTACATTAAAAACTAAATGTTGTCCTCAGGTCATCTGGTTACTTTTAACGTGGTTCATGTTTTTATAAACATTTGATAATGGGCCAGATCATATTTCTGCTGAGAAGTAGACTATTTTCTTTGGGTCCTATTATACACTTGTGAGACATAGTAGTTAAAAGCAGAAAATTTGAAACAGTTTCAACTTTTTCATCAAAAGCGTCTTTCTGGCACCACTCTCTTATGGTAAGATCACTATGTAAGCAATGTAGTGGATATGTGGAAAGTATTACGTAAGACAAGCAAGTCATTCACTGAATAAGGCAGCTTGAACATGTGTTGAACATGCCAAACCACCTCTTACGTCGATGTACAATGCTGTAGGAAGTCTGATTAGGTTGAAACAAGGCTGAGGATGATCAAACTAAGGCATTACACCAGTGCCTGCAGTCCTTAAGCCGTGTAGGGAGATACATAATGGCTAGATGAGGTTCCTGAAAAAATAGGAATTAGTGGTTGCAGACTCTTGATGAAATGGCTGGAAATCGATTACAATGATACAGATGTATTTACTGTTTGATGTCTTATAAAGCTTGAAAGCTTCACTAACCCTGAGTTTCAAATCTTATCTTCGCGCATACACCTCTGTCTACTTTGATGTCAGTCTTTTTCTATCCCCTTGTTCTTTGTATACTGCTGTAAAGTGTGCAAGGTTTCCCGTTGACTTTGTCTATCTTTCCCATCTCTTTTAACAAAACGTTTATTGACGAAAGATACCCATTTAATCACGAATAAAAACAAGACATGTATCAGTGAGGAAGAAATATTTATTTTCACTGGCTTCGTTATCAAGCTGTACAGTCGTATTTATACTCCGTAAAATGACAGATTCCTGGAGAGACTAAAACATGCTCTGGATTCAAAACTACGACCGGAACAGACTATCTAACTTCAGGAAAAACAAATCATGTGAGGACTAAATTGCAAAGCTACGCATCATCATAGAACGGAGCATAGAATAGCAGTCAACTCTCAACCTCAACTACATAGACTTTGAAAGGCCTTCGATAGAGGCGTCGACCGAAAAGTAACTTGGCAGCTTCTTTGACACTACGGTTCTACTGCCACAAACCTCTATCAACCTCATTCAATAGCGGCTATATGCCAAGTGATTCACAATAGAAACCTCAGTGATGCCTTCAAAATAAAGACAGGTTGATAGGTAAGACAAAGTTGCCTACTATCACCGATGATCATCCTGATTATGGTCAACTGCACTGAACTGGACTGTATCATGCAACAAAGAACTATGAGGAGTGGCAAGAAGGGCATACACTGACCGACGAAAAGACCCCAGAAGTTTGCGATTTCGCCCATAATGATTTACGTCTAATGTCTTTTGTCGCACAAACTCGAAGATGTACAGGGGAAAAACTAAGAAGAGGTAGGGCAGCCAAGGAAGACAAGGTTTCCTCCAGGTGGACGAAGAGAAGAAGGCAAAAGAGGTGATGAAAATGCCCAACCAAAAACCAACAGTTACAACAAGTACCATCACCATCAACGGGAGAAATCTAAAGAAAGTTGTCTCTCTCACCTACCTAGACAAAACAGCATCGTCTCAACTACAGGCACCAGCGGTGGTGGCGGCACAGATGAGGAGATCAAAGCCAGGATCAGAAAGACAGCAAGACAGACCATCATGAATCTGAAACCAGTGTGGAGATCTACTCCACTCCACTCCACTCCAATCCAATCCAATCCACTCCACTCCAATCCACTGCACTCCACTCTACTGCACTCAGCATAAAGCGTGAACAACATCCGGATTTCAAACATTAATTCAGTCAAGTAAGTCAGTCCTTCATTCCATGTGATGGTTGAGAGTTAGACTTGGCGCATCACGAAAAGCATTCCAAATAAACTGCTGACATCATACATGAACAGCTGCCACCTACACCTACTCTCACTCCACACTGAAGATCAGATCAGATCAGATCAGATGAGAAGCAGAGGTGAGGCGAGAAAGAATAATCAAGGAGGAAGTGTGGTCTGGCAACGAACCAACCAATGAAGCAAGAAGCTATCATCCAACCAATATGTAGAAGAAGAAAGTGGAGATGGATTGGATTCGATTGGATTCGACTGGATTGGACACAGAGTGAGAAGACAGATTGGGGATATCAAACACCAGGCCAGTCCGTTGAGTGGAGACGAAATGGGAAACGACGAGTTGGGTGTTTGAGGTGAGGGTGACATGGGGGAGATGGTGTGGGGGAAGAAATGAAAGGTTATGGGTAGTGGTGGAGTCAGGTTAAGAAGATTGGAGAGGAGAGAGTGGAATGGTGACATGCTACTGAAGCTGCATGTTCCACCAGGAACCCAAGGGACAAATAATAATAATGACAGATGATTGCACTAAAAAGTTGCTCAGTCAATACGCAAAATATACAATAGGTGTTGGTGGTGGAATTTGTTTAAGTGGAAGAGATAGAAAATGCATTACTGAATAAGGAAAGAAATGAGATAACAAGTGATGAGATAAGGGACAAGTGTAAAAAGGCGATAAGTTAATTGAAACAGGTAAAATGGGTCAAGGAATAAGGTAAGGAATTGATATTAAATGGTAAAATATGGGTCAAATGTTGTTAGTGAACTGCAAAATGGTGATTCAGATCTGTTGTTTGAGGATAGGCATCACTGAGCTTCCCATTATGAATTACTTGGCATGTGGCCTCCCGTCTATATGATACTCCCAGATATACAAAGAAATCATTCCCCTCCCTCCAGTACATAGATATGATTAATTCTCTATATAAATTAATCACGAAATAGCTTGTGGAAATACTGGAACCCGTAAAGAAGAGGCTATTGAACCACAGTCTCCGCGACACATTGGATTTTGTCAACTCAATAAAGAATGTCAATTTCATCGGATGTCGTCTCCTTCTTCATAAATGTTCCACTGACAGTAACCATCCGCTTCCTATGTGAATTCATTCAGTGTCATAACATAGATGTCGGTATTCCAATCCACCATCTAAAACAGCTTTTACTTCGATGTACCTTCAATGTACACTTCAGATTTAATAATGAGATCTACAGGTGCAATGGGTTCTCCACTAGGACCTCTCTAAGATGACTGCTTTATGACAAACCTGGAAAATACCAACTTATAATCAATAATCAATGGACTTGATGTCTACAAAAGATACATGGATGATACCTCTATTGTTTGTGATGAAAATATGAATCTTGCAAACATGCTTCATACCTTCAACAACCCCCCAATTTTATACCAAATTCACTCTAGAATTACAATCAAACTCAACCTTCCATTTCCTTGATCTTCAACTCCCCCCATGAAAAGACGATAATTCACTTCGTAGATCAATCTACATAAAGTCTATGTGCAATCAACAGCATATTAGTTTTCAATATTCAGTCCCCCTATTGAAGGGAAGACAGAGAGAAATCTTATCAATTCACCTTCCAGGAGGGTCAGGAAAATATGTACTGGGGACACTGTTGACGAAGAACTGCAAAATTCTCGACGAAATCTAGAGGAAAACAGTTTCTCGTTCACATTCTTACATAAGAACATGAAGTCAAACAACCCAGCTGAACGAACAAGTTTGGCACCAACAAAGGTTCTTTCGTTGAATCTTGAATTCAAAAATGATATTGCTGCACAGGTTCTGAGGAAACAATTGTCAAAATCCTTAAACATACCATACTTCCCCACCAACCTTCAGATTATTTTCTCCTGCAAGGAACGTTTTGATGAATGTGCAAAAGACATGCCGACGCATTCGGCCACACTAATGTGTGTGTACCAGTTTACTTTATGTTGTGGAGCTGAGTACATTAGCCATACCATGCATCCACTTGTAAAACGTGTCCGCGAACACTACCCAGTCTGACCGGCTGGGAAACAAAGAACGGAAATGTATCTTCACTTCAATAACAGAACACCTCCTTCTGAGAGCTCATTCAAAATCCTCTATAGGGTTCGATCAGATCACTCGAAGGGTCAGATCACGGAATTCGTCTGTTGTTGAAGTACTACCCATCCACCATTTCACACTAGCGTTATGCAACCAGAAAAAGTACGTCCGAAAGTTATCTTCACCAATGGCCATCATAAAGCTTTGGCTGTCATAAATTCATCCTGTATTATGTAACTATAGATGTATTTTCATAATCCCTTGTCTATTTTCCCACTCTAAACTCAGATGTGTATTGATTAACTGGTTTTGGTTAGTCAATACATTTTGCCGTCTAAGCGGAAATAGTTCTGGAACGTTCTGCCAACTCTAACAGATGACTGTGGCAGATGACTTTTTGGAAAAGATTTTTCTCCATTGCAGTCATGTCTTGTCTTTTCTTATGATTGTATTCCGCTATTTGTAAATTATCTTAAAAGATAAATCTTGAGGGACTGAATGATCTAACTCTACTTAGTGTTCACATAGACATGAAGTTATTTTCCTTTGGTAAATTAAACCAGGTAACAATGAGAAACAACTTTTCGGAGGGTCCACTTACAACATCGAATATAGTCAAATCCACAGAAGCATATGAATTTGTAGATACATACATAGATATGGTACTAATCCGAATCTCAAGTGTAATATCGGAAAGTAGTATGAAACAGATTAGTTCTAGGGAAAGATTTATGCTTGAATGGACAAGAGAAGTGAGTATTTCGTAGGCTATATAACCATAAAGTAATTTCGGTGAAATATTGTGGTGTCTTCTGAAACAACTGGCTTGCTGAAGATGGTCGTATATTTCCAGCAAATAAATAAGAACGAATATTGATATTCTATTAGAAATGTGGATTTTTATCTTTTTTTTTCTCTCAGGTAGATATGAATGAGTCTAATGAATCAATTGAAGAGAAAAAATCAATGTACACAAGTCCTGAAGCTACTATTATCTTTGTTACACTGTTCTGGACAATAGTTACTGTCTCATCTTGGATAATAAGAAGCGCTCTATTATGGGTAAGCTAATACTTGTTACCTTTACTGACTGTGTACCATGAATTTGAATCTCAGAGAGGATATCACTTCTATTGAGGTTACCGAACAGGAATTCCTACAGGTTGCCTCTATTGAAATAAAACCTGTTGAAGTTTTTTTGCAGTCGATTAACAGTTAGTTTCTTTGATGATTGTGAACAGTATAATAAGAAGATTGAGGTTATTTGAGAAATGTGGGATGTATTTGGCTCCAGGACTGGTTTTCAACAGTGTCCTGGCAAACAAAGAGATTGAAGTGGTTTAATGCGTTTAAGACTTAACTTACCTGGGAAGTCAGATCAACCCTAGCGCATCGATCAGTAATAGATGAAATCTCTTCACGGATACAAAAGGCTTAGTTGACTTTTGCCAACCTACACCATCTTTGGCGCTACTGCGATATCCCATTTTTTGTTAAGGGCCGAGTGTACTATGCTGCAGTCCACTCTCCCCTACAGTATGGTTGTGAAACATGACGATTAGACGTAGAAGACTTCAGGTGTTTGACCACTGTTGTCTTCGTAGCATAGGCCATGTTTCGTGGTGTCACTACGTGAGTAACACAGAAGTCAGGTGGAGAGTTTTAGACAGGAGAGGTAAGATAGTTGACTGAGTTGCGAACCTTCATTGACTGAAATGGCTGATTGGGATTTGTGTTATTTATTCCTAATCACTGTCTGCCTTGTAGCACAATGTTCGCAGAAGTAGATTTTGGATGGAGAAAGACTCGAGGCGGTCAGACTAAAACATATCATCAATGCATGAAGTCTCTGACTTTTCGTTTGAGCCATGTAGGGAGATGCAAACTAGCCGGTTGGGGTTGGCGGGACAAGAGGGACCAGCGGTTGGAGACTCTAGGTGATATGGCTCAGAATCTATGTCAGTGGCACAGATGTATACACAAATTATTCTCATCTTAACCTCTATATTCAATCTCATTATCTCCTCATTCTTCCTTCTTCTCTTTTGCTACCTTCTACTTCCTTTGACCTATTTTTCTTTTTTTTTTTCCCCATCTTCCATTTTATTGTTTTATTGCTTCATGTGCTAATATGAGGTGACGTGTTTTAGTTCTTCGAAAACTGCGCATTACTTCAGGATCTATTGTGATGAAACAGTTATGACAGTTGGGGCAACTCACATTAGACGTGAGAACAAACACTCAACAATGGCGAAGAATAATGAAGGTTGCTCTATACCATCAATTAACAGAGGTAAGTAAATATGAAGCATTGGATTCCAACCTAATGACTGAAAACTGAAGGTCCTAGATTCTATCAACCGTGGAGTTGTAGGTGTGTATTGCTCAAGGATTTCATACTAGGATGAGACAGCTGTCCAATGCTCCCAAATTTTTAATAGTTCTTCAACTGTGATGTCAGTATATGATGAATAATACTCTCAAATGAATCAGTCGCCATAAACTTTTAAGTCGAATGAAATAGAGGTATAGAATGAACTTTTGAATGAATAGTTAAATAAAACATAGTTTATCCTTGGATGGTTTCTTTCTGAAAGGTGATTATTATGTGATGTTCTTTTGAAATTGGATTTATGAGATGGAAATCACAGTATTATTGTTTAAAACAATGACAAGGTTCAATTAGTGTTGTAAATGTATACTGAATGACCATTATCTTCAATAAATTCATATTTCATCACACAGAAATAATAAAATGATATGAATATCAAGAGAACTTGTAAAATTCTATACGGGCAATCGATAGGATTGTGAACATATACCGACTGTAGAGGTTTAGGACATGTGATTAGGATGGTGAGGAAGCGCCTACTTCGATCTTTACTGTTTCACATAGAAAGGACTATATTGGAAGATGGTTCAAGGTGGCTAGATCAAGACATGACACAAGTTCATTAAGTTTCTAACTATCTATCTCAACCACTTGGGAAAATGAAGAACTCTTTTGATTGAGATCCTCGAGAAGAAGACAGTTTTGGTGACATGGTTGGGAATCAGTCAGAAAGGCGCAGATTTGTTCGCTACTTAGAGTCTTCCAAAGATTGGATGCTTTGGATAACTTTCAGATTTGAATCCCCTCATCTTTCATCATTTTATTATTTGTCCCTTGGGTTCCTGGTGGAACATGCAGCTTCAGTAGCATGTCACCATTCCACTCTCTCCTCTCCAATCTTCTTAACCTGACTCCACCACTACGCATAACCTTTCATTTCTTCCCCACACCATCTCCTCCATATCACCCTCACCTCAAACACCCAACTCGTCGTTTCCCATTTCGTCTCCACTCGATGGACTGGCCTGGTGCTTGATATCCCTAATCTGTCTTCTCACTCTACGTCCAATCTAATCTAATCCAATCGAATCCAATCCATCTCCACTTTCTTCTTCTACATATTGGTTGGATGATAGCTTCTTGCTTCATTGGTTGGTTCGTTGCCAGACCACACTTCCTCCTTGATTATTCTTTCTCGCCTCACCTCTGCTTCTCATCTGATCTGATCTGATCTGATCTTCAGTGTGGAGTGAGAGTAGGTGTAGGTGGCAGCTGTTCATGTATGATGTCAGCAGTTTATTTGGAATGCTTTTCGTGATGCGCCAAGTCTAACTCTCAACCATCACATGGAATGAAGGACTGACTTACTTGACTGAATTAATGTTTGAAATCCGGATGTTGTTCACGCTTTATGCTGAGTGCAGTAGAGTGGAGTGCAGTGGATTGGAGTGGAGTGGATTGGATTGGATTGGAGTGGAGTGGAGTGGAGTAGATCTCCACACTGGTTTCAGATTCATGATGGTCTGTCTTGCTGTCTTTCTGATCCTGGCTTTGATCTCCTCATCTGTGCCGCCACCACCGCTGGTGCCTGTAGTTGAGACGATGCTGTTTTGTCTAGGTAGGTGAGAGAGACAACTTTCTTAAGATTTCTCCCGTTAATGGTGATTGGTGATTGGTGCTTGTTGTAAGTGTTGTTTTTTGGTTGGGTATCTTCATCACCTCTTTTGCCTTCTTCTCTTCGTCCACCTGGAGGAAACCTTGTCTTGCTTGGCTGCCCTACCTCTTCTGCCAACTTGTTAGTTCTCAACTGTACATCTTCGAGCTTGTACGATAAGACATACATAAACCAGTATCGGCGAAATGCAAATCTTCTTTTAGGGTCTTTTCATCGATCCAGCCAGCGTATGCCCATCTTCTCAAAGCCCCTCAGACATTCTTGCCTGATCAAGCCTACCACAATGAGAAAGATAATCGGTGATAGTAGGCGATAACCTTGTCTTACCTGTCACTGAGCTTTCCATTGTGAAATCACTCGGCATGTAGGATCATCATCAACACCATATAGCTGCTGATGAATGAGGTTGATAGAGGTTTGTGGCAGAAGAAGCGTAGTGTTTAATCAGCCGCCTGCCAAGTAACTTCTCGTTAGACGTCTCTATCGAAGGCTTTTTCAAAGCCTATGTAGTTAAGGTTGAAAGTTGACGGTTAATTAGATGGTGTAAGTGAATAAAAATCAGGTGAAGCTTTACTGTCCGCATCATAATTTCGTCGGTAATCTGATCACTTGAAGATATGTTACCATTCGGATAAGAGAACTAGTCTACATTTTCAATCATTTCACTGCTTAATGTCACATCAGGTCAATCTTGATGAAGTATAGGAATATTTCTGAGATCTCATTCTCTCTATTCTCATTTAATCATATTGACCTTACTTTATGTTTTCCAGTTGTTAGACACTTCCTTTACTCAACAACCTAAACAGAATATGATCAATTCAAATGCCAAATCGAAATTGTTTGTTACATTCCCTTCATTAAATAATTTTAGAAATTTAATACGAGATAAATTTTCATCAACTCCTCAATTAGTAATTATGTTAGTGGATGGTATAGCCACAATTGAAATATGTGCATGCAGTTTAGAGTTATGGCCTATACGTGAAGTATTTGGTTATTGGGGTCTTATGATTGCTATCATGTTGAATGGTATTCGTTCAAATTTATTTATTTCACTTGATGCCTTTGGAAGTCCATGTAATCCATGGTACAGGTAAATATTATTGCTTTACTTATATGTTCATGTTGAAATTAAGTACTAATCACTTTGTTCAGTGATTATCTAAAGGTATTTATTTGAAAATGATATCAACTATTACTATTTACTGCGAAAAACATTCCTAATTTGTCGCTTTCGACTTTGAAAAGGCCTTCAATAGAGTCGACAGAGGAGAAATTTGCCAGGCAGTTGCCTCAACACTACGGAGTGCCACAAACCTTTATCAACCTCATTCAACAACTATATGAGAACGCCACATACCAAGTATTTCACAATGGGAAGCTCAGTGGTGCCTCCGAAGTTAAAGTGAAGACAGGAGTGAAACAAGGCTGTCTACTATCACCGGTCGTCTTCCTGATTATGGTCAACTGGAACATGCAACAGATCGTGAGGAGTGAGAAGAGGGGTATACGCTGACTGGAGCGATGAAAATATCCTAGAGGATTTGGATTTCACTGATGACTTATGTCTAATGTCGCGCAGACTTAAATATCTACAGGGAAAAGCCAACAAGTTAGGAGAAGAAGCAGGGCAGGGCAAGGCAGCGAAGGCGGGACTTCAAGTGAACGTGGAGAAGACAGATGTGCTGAAGATACCCAACCGATAACCAACAGTAACAACAATCACCAATCACCATCAAGGGGAGAAGTGTAAAGAAAGTAGCCTCTTTCACCTACCTCGCCAAGGCAACATCGTTTCAACTACGGGAGGCACATGAACAGACGAGGATGTTAAAACCAGGATCAGAAAAGCAGGAGAGGCTTTCGCTAATCTGAAATCAGTGTGGAGATCTACTGCACTCAACAGGTGGAACAATATCCGGATTTTCAACACCTATGTCAGTCAAGTCAGTGCTTCTATATGGTTCAAAAACTTGGCATGTCACGAAAAGCATTTCCAACAAACTACAGACATCCATCAACAGCTGCCGCCTACGATCACTCGATACTGAAGATGAGATGACCAGAATAATAAGAATAAACAACAAGGAACTCTTGTTGGCTGCCAACGAATCAACCAAGAACGTATTACCCAACAAATATGAACTGGAAGGAAGTGGAGATGCATTGGATTGAGCATACACTGAGAAGGCTGACGCAGGACATCAGGTGACATACCAGGCCGGTGAGTGGAATCCGAAGGTGAAACGATGAGTTGGGCGTCGGAGGTGAGGGTGACATGGAGGAGATGATGTGAGGAAGAAATGAAAGGTTGTGGGTAGTTGTGGTACAGTGTTTGGTAGACTGCAGAGAAGAGAGTGCAATGGCGACGTGCTAGTGAAGCCCTATGTTCCAATAAGAACCCAAGGGAAAAAAATAATATATATTTAAACAGCGTAATGAGAAGATGAAGATTATCTGAAACACATGTGATGTATTAGCGCTATACATTACGAACAGTCTGATCCCCCACACATGGACTTGTCGAACTATTTGTATGAAAATTTACGAAAAGGGTTAATGAAGTTAATAGGAAATATTGGAGGAATAGGAAGGGAGAGAAAAATGAAAAAAACTTTACCCTTGGTATGAAAATTACAGCACAAACCAAAACAACATATAGGCGATTACATCACATCCCATTGTGTTTACCAGTTTACATGTATGTGTGGACACGTATACATAGGGAGGAGTAATCGTGATATGCAGTTAAGGAAGGTTGAGCATGTACCTAATTGGCTTCTATCCAAAACCAAATGACCTCAACACATCAACAGATAAGTTCAGGTGACAAACATCCATCTTCGTCTATCGCTAAACATATGCTGGAAGCTAACCATAGGATAATAATGGGTCGTGGCTTGCAGTGGAATCCAGGAAGCGCATTTCGTCCTGTTTGGGACTCGGTGGGAACAACGTCACTCATTAGCAAGCAGGTACATCCAACTGACGAGTCCCAAGTAGGACGAAATGCGCATCTTGGATTCCACTGCTAGTCACTGACCATCATTAATATAATTAGAACACTGGCAATATCGAGACATCCGCACAGGAGCCCATATGCCAACAGAGACCGATTAGTTCGGTTTAATCAACGACGGTATCATATAAAAACAATTATACTAACCATAGGATAGACATGAAAACAGCCTTTAAAGTACTACATAAAAATGGTTAGAGCCGAGTGCTTAAATTTATTGAAGCTCTTGCCATCCGTAAATGTAAACCCCCTGCTTTATGTATACAAAAATAATTCGTACTCACGTTGAACCTACCTTGGTGTTGTATTGACTTTAATTTTCATACCAAGAGTAACGTTTTTTCCCTTTTTCTCTCCCTTTCTATTCCTCCAATATTTCCTATTAACTTCATTAACCCTTTTCGTAAATTTTCATATAAATAGTTCAACAAGTCCATGTGTGGGGGATCAGATTGTTCGTAATGTATAGCGCTATTACATCACGACATATTTCAGATAATTTTCATCTTCTCATTACGCTGTTCAGATTTATCAAAGGGACCAGTTGCTTTAAATAATATATCTGTATAAATATCAATGTAATTTGGACAGCTGTTTCATCCCAGTATAGGACATCTCAGCAATGGGCACCCAGGACTCCATACCGCCAGGGGTCAAACGCACAACCTTCAATGTCCGCGCCCATCTCGCAACTATCCGGCTATCCTCTGGGTCCGAATCCAGTTCACGATATAGCGCGACTTACACCCAATGTTGTCATCGTTGAGTAACTGTCCTCATGTTCGAATTGATTGACCCTACTGGTGGCGACTTTTCATTGGAACTTCAGGAATTACTTCCCGAGGCTAGTCACCAATGAGCACTAGATCAGTTTAATTTTGGAGTTTGTGGGGTTTGTGGTGACTAGCTTCGAGAGATGATTCCTGAAGTTACAATGAGATGTCGTGACCGGTGGGGCAAACCTGGTGAACTTGGGAACAAATACTCAACGATGATATTGGGTTGCTGTCGCGCTATGTTGTGAACTGACAGACGTTGGAAATATGGATCACTGGATTCTGACACAATGGTAACGTGCTGGTCACGGAACCTGAAGGTGGCGGGTTCGTTCCCCGGTGGTGCGGGTGATGGGTATGCACCACTGTGGAGTCCCATACTAGGGCGAAACAGCTGTTGAGTGCTCCTATGTCCCCATCATTCCTCCAACTGATGTCAGTCCATGATGAGTACCAACTTGATATACTTGTAATTCTCGGTTATTTTGTTGGATAGAATTGGCATATGGGCTGGTATGCGGACGTATCGATATTACCTGAATGTTAATTATGGTAATTTGATTGGTTGCGGCTAGCATAAGAATCCAAGACGCACGTTTCGTCCTGTTTGGGACTCATCGGCCGGATGTACATGCACACGAATGAATGATGTTGTTCCCACTGAGACACGAACCACGTACCCATCGCTTCAAACTCTAAGGCGTTATCCACTATGCCACGAAGGAACGATAGCCATTTCTTGTACAACGAGTAGGTAGCAGATTCGGAGAGATACTTAAATTATTACTGTGCGCATACCTACCTTAATCACCAAACTGACAGTCGCTAAAAATCTCATCAGCACAGCTAATTGCTTGGTGACAGTAGGAGCAGATAAAAATAATCATTTGAAGTTAATGCGAACTATACCCATAGGAAATAACTATCCGGATAGATTTGTTAAACGAATCTTGAGAAATGAAGTGAAGGATAGTCCAAAACGTCATTCAATGAAATGAATCAACCTTAAGCTGATTCTCTATCGCGAAGAGACATTCAAAGTAATCAGAAAAGTTTTCAAAAAACATGACATAAAGGTTTATTTTCCATACCACAAATAATCTACGTTCTACTTTGATGAAGATTAGTAATGTAATACCTACAGAAAAACCATAGAACTCTGTGTATGATATAAAGTGATCAAATTGTGATGCAGTATATGAAGAGGAAGCATCTACATGAATAAATTTTAGGGTCAAGGAGCATAGACAATGTTTAAAACAAACTTTTGAAACTTCAGCAGACATTCAGACCTATACATACCATAGAAATGGGACATAAGATTGATTTCGAAGGAATCAGAGTTCTACAAAAAGGTTTTGTGTTATAGTAAGAATGAATGACTGGTATGACCCAGCCACTTGAACAGGTGAGACAGAGAGCAGCTAGCTGTACCGTGGCAAATAATAACTGACAAATAAAAGTAAGGAAAGTAAGAGAAAAACGTGGACATAGTGACAAAGTATACTTCCATAGTAGACTGTTTATCTGACATAGCACAAAGTGACACAGTATAGTTGTCACTGGATGACGTTTCGAACAGAATTTATTCCTCATAAGACTTTCAGACCTCACTCTTCTATAGTTCGACAGTTCTTCGTTCACTTATTTTAATGTTAGTAAAATATTTCAGATATCCAGAATATGTGATGATCAGTCATTCCTGTTACATGTGTGTCACATGTTGATTCGATGAACAAACATACTGTGTTCACTCTGTCCCTCCACCAAGTGCTATATTGGAGTTAAGAATCGGCATCCTATCCCACCCATCCCCTATATGTGATTATGGGTCAGTGGATGCAGATAAAGGGTAGCCAAGTTTCTCCCTCTAAATTACCTACCTTCGTAGAGTCTACCATTGTATGTTTCGCCAAATGTTTGTATTCTGCAATTGTGACTGAATTTTGAGAGAGTTGTAGGGATTTGGAAATATTTCAAGTTGTTATTCATCGTAGATATCAGTTGGAGGAACAATAGAAACCTGGGAGCACTGGACAGCTATTTCATCCAACTAGTATGGGACTCCTCAGCAGTGCTCACCCACGACCCCACCAGCAGGGATCGGACCCGCGACCTTCACTTTCCGTGACCAGCACGTTACCATTGAGCTAGCCACTGGGTCAGAATCCAATGGTCCATATTTCCAACTTCTGTTAGCTCACGATATAGCGCAACCGCCACCCAATGTCATCGCTGAGTAACTGTCCTCACGACCACCAGGCTTTGACTCCACCGGTCACGACTTCTCACTGGAAC